GATGCTGCTTGGCCTGCTGTGTTCATCCAGCTCTACACCTTGTTATACCAGGTTATAGTCCAACAGGTTTATTTGAAATCACAAGCTTTCGGAGCGCTGCTCCTTCGTCAGGTGTTGTAACCTGGTGTTGTATGACTTCTGACTTAGTCCACCCCAGTCTAACACTGGCATCTCCACATCATGCTTAAATTATGATAGATTAGGAAAGTGTTGATTTACAAGTGGACCTAAGCTTCCTTGTACACCAGTCACTGAAAGAAAAGATGCAGGTGTAGCATGTAGTCAGGACAGCAAATGGAATGTTGGCCCTCACTGCAGGATAGTTTGAGTACAGGAGTGAGGAAGTCAAACTGGAGCTATCCAGGGTCTTGGAGTATTCTGTACAGTTTTTGTCTCGTTAACCAGGGAAAGATATATTTGCCACAAAGGGAGTGCATTGAAGGTTCACCAGCCTATTCCTGGAATGGCAGAATTGTCATTAAAGGGTCCACTGGGCCTGTATTCATTGGAGTTTAGAAGAATGAGAGGCATCTCTTTGAAATATATAAAATTCTGACAGAGCTGGAGAGACTGGATGCAGAACCTATGTTTCTCCTGGTTGAGTGGGGGGTCCAGAATGGGGATCGAGGTCTCAGGATACAGGATAGGCTATTTCGGACCAAAAGAAATTTCTTCACCCAGAGGACAGGGAACCTGTGGAATTCTCTACCACAGAAGGGTATGGATTTAAGACAGTCGTAGATTTTCAGAGGCTCAAGGTATTAAGAGGTGTTAGACAGCAGGAGTATGGTGTCAAGATACAGGACTAGCCGCAATGATGAACGGTGGAGTGGATTTGATGGGCCGAATAGCCTACTCCTACTCTTCTTTTCTATGTTTCAGTGGGATGGCTGTGAGTTAAACTGATGCCTAGATATACAAAAGGGGGAACAAAAGTCTTGCGGTGTAGTAGTAATGTCATTACTTCCAGGATAGAAGTTCTGGGTTCAAGTTCCATATACCCTAGGTGTGTCATAACAGGTCCGAACAGATTGACTAAAAAATGATTTATAATGGGCCCTCAGCTCACACTGGGACACAGCTCTGTTGTACTGGTACAGTCAATAAACTCTCCACTCAAAGGAAGTCCACATCTCTTTGGTTTCTTTTTAATAGAATTTGTTAACATGGTGGGAGCAGATTCAATAGTAACTTTGAATAGAGACCTGGATAAGAACTTGAAGGGGTCACAAAAACAGTACAGCAATGGGGAAGGAGATATAGGGTGAGAGAGAAGGCACAATGCTGGAAGATTCTATGAAAATAAGACAACTAAAGTCAGTCTGACTTTCTCTCCCCAGATAGTAATTAAAATAGAAAACAGGAGACCTCGCAGTCACCTTCCCTGTCTCTGAACAACAATAACCCTGCCTCCACACTAATGCTTCCTAATTTTGTAGCAGTTATACTTTCATTCTGATGTTAGAGTGTCACAGTGTCTCCTGAATTCTACCCTCGGTACAGATCCAAGGTTCACAATACAAATCTGATTCAATACTAATTATAAATCATTATACCAATGCTGGTGTAAACATAAAATACTGTTACAGCAGGTAGTGCTTAGCTAGTAGGCCTGGAAAGCACAGAGAGAAGTCTCCTCCATATCCAAACCCATGCTGTCCTGGTCCCTGGGAGTGTTTGATGGTGGGGGGGGACAGTGTAGAGGAAGCTTTACTCTGTATCTAGTCCCGTGCTGTCCCTGTCCTAGGAGTTTTTGATGGGGACAGTGTAGACGGAGTTTTACTTTCAGTTCAAAAGGACAGAGGAAACTTTGCATTTGGTTTAAAAGAGTAGCGGGTGCTTTACTCTGAAGCTAACTGCATGCTGTCTCTGTCCTAGGAATCTTTGATGGAGAGTGTAGAGGAAGCTTTACTCTGTATCTAACTCTGTGCTGTTCCTGTCCTGGGAATGTTTGATGGGGACTGCGAGAAAGAATAAAAAAGTGTCACTTTCAGCTTAAAAAGATTAGAGAGAGCTTTATTTTCAGTTTTAAAATGTGGAAGTAGCTTCACTTTCAGTTAAGAGTAGAGGGAGTTTTATTTGGTATCTGACCCCACACAGGTTATAGTTGTAGGAGGACGGAGTGGGTGAGTATTCAGGTCAAACATCTATCACCAAGGGAACAACAGACAAGATTTCAGCTCAGAGATAGTAAGAACTGCCGATGCTGGAGTCAGAGATAACACAGTATGGAGCTGGATGAACACAGCAGGCCAGGCAACATCACAGGAACAGGAAAGCTGATGTTTCGGGTTGGGACTCTGCTTCAGAAATGGGAGAGGGGGAAGGGGGCTCAGAAATAAATAAAGAGAGGGAGGGGACGGGGCTTCTCCCACCAAGTACTTACCTCATGTTTAAGGTAGGAGAGGTAAGTGTCCCAGCCGACAGTCACTACATTCACATAGAGGACACGGTATTTCGGAGAGAGGAAGTAGAAGTTGATCATTTGGGCTCCAGGCCACAACATCAAATCCGCCTGGAAAGAAGTGAATGGATTAAAATGTCAGAGCTTCCTGGTGACTCTACAAAACCAAACCCCGACTTCAATCAGACCCCTAAAGGGGGTCAGTGATGACTGACTGGGCACAGTCTCACCCCTGAGGGCTGAGATCAGCTGACACTAGACTCAGTCAGGACATCTCCTCCCCCCATTCTGATGCTTCGGGCACACACAGTCACTCCCCACAGAAGAGATCAGTCTCCAGTTTACAACAACTTCTTTGGTGACAGAAAGTAAACCACGACAACAGACTAAAACACACTGGTTAGTGTCAGCATTGCTTTTAAGAGAGATTAAGAGAGATTTACATTTACAAAGTGACTTTCATCATCTCAGAACTTCAAAGGTTCCACCACAGTTCAAAAGCTCTTCATTGGCTTTGGGGGATATTGGGGTGATAAAGATTGCATTCTGTATGTGGAATATAGGTCCAAGAGAGAAAATAAACCTCAATTTATATAGCACCCTATGACCACTTCACAGACAATTAACTGCTTTATTGATCTACAGCCTCTGTTGTGAAATGGGGAGTCTTCCTTAAGTTGACTGTCATCTCCTCGAGTGGTAATCGAGGACATAGGTTAACGCTCTGGGCAAATGGGTTCAAATCCCACCACAGCAGCTGGAGAAGTTTGAATTCAATTAATAAAAAAATCTGGAAACAAAAGCTATTTTCAGTCATGGTGACCATCATTGATTGCTGCAAAAACCTATCGGGTTCACTGGCCCATTTTAGGGAAGGAAATCTGTGGTCCTTACCTGGTCCGACCTACATGTGACTCCAGACCCGTCACGGCCTGGTTGACTCTTAACTGCCCTCTGAAGAGGCCACTCAGTTCAAGGGCAATTAGGAATTGGGAAACAAATGCTGGCCTTGCTAGTGGTCAAAATTACATCAAAAACGATAATGAAACAAAAAGCAATCAACTTGGATAAAGAAAATAATTAACAATTCAGTTAAATTACCAGGTTATTTTGTGATGTCGACCGATAGATAAACATTGGTCAGTAGATCAGCGAGAAACTCCGCTGCTCTTTATTTGAAAGATAACGCAACATATACTTCACATCCAGCTGAAAGAGCAGTCAGAGTCTTGGAAAACGTTTTACCTGAAGGACAGCAGCTACAGCAGAGCAGCACTTTCTTAGCTTTGCTAGTAAACTGTCAGCCTAGAGGTCTGTGCTAGGGATCTGGATTAGGACTCAAACCCCCGGCCTTGTGACTCAAAAACAGGTGAGTAACCACCAGAGGTACTGCAAAAGTGGCATCAAGCAACTAAGATCATACTTTGCAATTTTCCCAGTGCCATTTTGCAATACAAACATTATAAACGAGGCCTGTGTGGTGTCTTGTGCTAATGTACAGTTCTAGCCAAAAAGGCCTCAAGTTAAAAAGGACAAAATCATGACAAATCATCACAAATCATCCAAAATCAATTCATCATAAAACAAGAATTTCAAAATATTACCATATAAAATTTCCAGAACTTCCTCTTGAACTCCATCAGGCATTCGATTGGACGATGGCCGTCTAATATCCCCATTCCTGTCAAAACACATCACTGTGTCTTCAGTTGAAAATTCCTCTCAGAGATTCTAACATACCATTCAAATCCCAATGTTCCTCTGTCCCATCGGATCCAAGCTGTAGGATCCCTCCTTTAGTCCCTCTCTGAAATGAGAGAGAGAGAGCCTCAAACCCCGTGAGCACAGAGCCGCAAGTAAAAGTCAACTCTCAGTACAAGTACACTTGGGGTTAAACACAGACAGTGGCTCGGCATGGAGCAAGTCAACATTATAACATGGGTTAGGGGTGTGGAGAAATGCCATGACCTACCTCTGCCCTAATGCAATCCAGAGATTGATCAGTAAATACAATAGGTTTGGAATCTGACCATCAGTTACATAGGAATTTCCCTTTGCAGAGGGAAATTGTTAATTCAAGCTTCAGTCCATCTACATAAGGTTGTTGTGTCATCTCCAAACAGCAGGAGAGATGTTTCAAACCAGAATGAACTGACCACGTTTTCAGGACTGGTCTCTCCATGGGAAAACACTGCACTGTTTCAATGACCGTACTCAGCTGGGTTGGGTGTGAAATAAACCATGGACAAATAGCCCTCGGATATCCCAAATAACGGGAAAATGTTTGGGTGACACACTGCTATCTCATAGGATTGGGGACCCGGGTTCAATTCCACCCTCGGGCAACTGTCTGTGTGGAGCTTGCACATTCTCCCTGTGTCTGCGTGGGTTTCCTCCGGTTTCCTCCCACAGTCCAAAGATGTGCAGGTTAGGTGGATTGGTCATGCTAAATTACCCATAGTGTCCAGGGATGTGCAGGTTAGGTGGACTGGCCATGGTAAATGGGCGATTACAGGGATAGGGTGGGATGCTCTTTGGAGGGTCTGTACAGATCCAATCTGTAGGGGGAGGTGATGGCCTAGTGGTATTATTGCTGGACTTTTAATCCAGAGACCCAGATAATGTTCTGGGGATCTGGATTCAAATCCCACCAGGGCAGGTGGTGGAATCTGATTTCAATAAATATCTGGAATTAAGAATCTAATGATGACCATGAATCCACTGTCGATTGTCGGAAAAACCCATCTGGTTCACTAATATCCTTTAGGGAAGGAAACTGCCATCCTTACCTGGTCTGGCCTACATGTGACTCCAGACCCACAGCAATGTGGTTGACTCTAAACTGCCCTCTGGGCAATAAATGCCGCCTAGTCAGCAACGCCCATGTCCCATGAATAAAGGGAATAAAAATGGGCCGAATGGCCTCTATCTGCACTGTAGGGATTCTACGTAAACAAAGAATTGCTGATATTGAAGATATGTAACAAAAGCAGGAATTCCTGGAGAAACTCAGCAACAGTGGAGACAGAAACAGAGTTAATATTTCGAGTCCAGTCACCCTTCTTTACACGGAAATATGGTTGATGTGGTTATGATATGTTCGACCCGAATCAAAAGTGGGTTGGAATTGAAGCAACTTTACTGCAGTTGGAAGACAGGTCAGAATCAGTCAGCCTGACTCAGACCACAATCAATGCTGGATGGTCCAGCTGTGGAGTGAATTGCAAACCTCCAGCCAATCGTCTTGGTCAGGAAGGGTGTGCAGTTACCAAGGAGGGTCAGGGACAGTCAAACTGCTCATGTACCTGCAGTTCTCATGGGAAGAATCAATCACATGAAGGATTGTGAAGTAATCAGTCAAATCTGAAAGGTATTGGAATTGAGAAGTTAGGATAACTCAGGGGGAACAACCAAACCTTGAACTAACTAAGGTTTGCGCAGAAATAGGAGGTTTTATGTATGCTTTCTCAATAAAGGTGTGTTTCTGATAAGCTGTGATGACTGCATGTGTTCTGGGCGAGATCCAAGGTTAAATTGCAGAGTGTTTTAAATTGAATGAACCAATGAAGTTGTTGTGTCATTGAGGTTGTTTACAGGCTTTGTACGAGAGCAGCAGGAGGTTTATTTCAATAAATAAAAGATTTGTGGTTGAGCTAAACCTGTGTCTGAGAGATCTTCTTCTTGATAAAATCCTAAAGTCCAAGAACCAGTCCTGAGGAGGTTAAACAGGAATTGTATACATTCACATTAATTGTATCAATGGAGTGGCACATGCAAGGTCTTCCGTGACAATGTGAGTGCTGTTGGGCCTGGTGTGAGTAGCAGCAGCTGTGGAACAATATTTTAATTTAGTTTAATAAGTTTCCCTTACAATTATTTTTTAAAAAGTGGGAGAGCCAGCAGTACATCAGCACAAAGGACAATGCCAAAATATATGTATCCATCTTCAGCCAGAAGTGCCAAATGGATGATCTGTCGCTGTATAACAATGGGGTACGGCACTGGTGGGGACAGGTCTGTCACTGTATAACACTGAGGTACAGTACCTGGGGGGGAGGGACAGGTCTGTCGCTGTGTAACAATGGGGTACGGCACTGGTGGGGACAGGTCTGTCTCTGTATAACACTGGGGTACAGTGCTGGTGGGGACAGGTCTGTCACTGTATAACACTGGGGTACAGTACTGGTGGGGACAGGTCTGTCACTGGGGTATGGCACTACTTGCGGGGGTACGTTTGAAAGTTTTAACTTGTGAGCGAAGATTGTGTAGACTCATCTTGATGATTAAAGGTTGAAAACTTGTTCTGATCATAGTTGAGGCTGATTAAGAAAGTTTAAAGGACAAAGGGGAATAATTTTTGAAATATTTGTTCACGGTATGTGGAAGAATTATCTAGGTCAATAGTTATTGCCCATCCCATGTTGCCCCTTGAGAAGGTGGGGGTGAGCTGCTTTCTTGAAACACTGCAGTCCATGTGCTGTAGGTTGACCCACAATGCCCTTAGGGAGGGAATTCCAGGATTTTGACCCAGTGACACTTAAGAACTCCTCCAGTGGTCCCCAACATCACAGACACAAGTCTTCAGCCAATTTGACTCACTCCAAGAAACAGTAGGAGGCACTGGATACTGCAAAGGCTGCAGACCGTGACAATATTCCGGCAACATTCCCTGTAATTTTTCTCACCGCTGCACGGTTCAGGAGGTGACTGGATTGAAATATAAAATCCTGAATGGATTTGACCGGGCGTGTGTGGGGAAAGGATGCCTGCTCTTCTGGGAGAATCTAGAACTACAGGATCACCCATTTAAAACAAGAGATGAGGAAACATTTTTCTCTCAGAGGGCTGAGCCTTTAGAAATCCCTTTCTCAAAAGGCAGTGGATGCAGAATCTTTAAATATTTTAAGGCAGCGGTAGATAGATTCTTGATGACCAAGGGGATGGAAGATTGTCAGGGGAATGTAGAGTTGAGGTGAAAATCAGATCAGCTGTGATCTTATTGAATGGGGGAAATGGGCTGGAAGTGCTGAATGGCCTACTCCTATTCTTCATGTGCATGACCCACGAGGTCAAGTGCAGCATTGACCCATTGAAACCAGAAGTCAATGTGTCGGGCATGGCGTTTGACATATACGGGACCTCCAAGCTCCTGTGCAGTTGTTGAGAGGCAGCATTGCGTGTTCCTGCTCCAGAAGTGGCCAAGTCTACCAATGCCCCTTTAAGGGGTAGTTCATGGACTGATTAGTTTAGTTACTTAATTAAACAGACTACACCACTGCTCCGTTGATCTAGGGGGGAGTCTCACTTGCAGTTTTTCAATAAGCAGGTATGAGAGAGGTCATAAGTTCAAATCACAGATAAACCTTCCATCCTGTCTCCTCTGGTCCAAGTCTCCTAATGGGTGTTGTGGGGTCTGTACTGTAATGTCCTTATCGAGCTCGAGTGTTGTCTACCGTCCAGGAGAAAGCTGCCCCAGTTTGATTGGCACTACATCCACAAGCATCTATTCCCTCCACCACTGACACTCAGTAGCAGTGTGTACCATCTACAAGATGCACTGCAGAAATTCACCAAAGGTCCTTAGACAGCACCTTCCAACCCACGACCACTTCCATCGCAAAGGACAAGGGTAGCAGATACATGGGAACACAACCCCTTGCAAGTTCCCTTCCAGCCACTCACCATCCTGACTTGGAAATATACTGCTGTTCTTAAGTGTCACTGGGTCAAAATCCTGGAATTCCCTCCCTAAGGGCATTGTGGGTCAACCTACAGCACATGGACTGCAGTGTTTCAAGAAAGCAGCTCACCCCCACCTTCTCAAGGGGCAACATGGGATGGGCAATAACTATTGACCTAGATAATTCTTCCACATACCATGAACAAATATTTCAAAAATTATTCCCCTTTAAACTTTCTTAATCAGCCTCAACTATGATCAGAACAAGTTTTCAACCTTTAATCATCAAGATGAGTCTACACAATCTTCGCTCACAAGTTAAAACTTTCAAACCTACCCCCACAAGTACAGCCCCACCAGCGCCATATCCCAGTGTTATACAGGGACCGACCTGTCCCCACCGGTACTGTACCCCAGTGTTATACAGAGACCGACCTGTCCCCACCGGTACTGTACCCCAGTGTTATACAGTGACCGACCTGTCCCCACCGGTACTGTACCCCAGTGTTATACAGTGACCGACCTGTCCCACTGATATTCTATCCCCCACAGCGCAGTGTTATGCTGTCTTGTGGGTTAATGTGTTGTCAGATACAGATTGAATGGAGGCAGGAGAAAGGTTTCACACACTGATAACACCGAGTAGAGGAACAAAGTAGAGAGACTTGGTTGGAGCCAAAACATTTTGGAGACAGGAATGTTACACATACCGCCAAAATAGATGAGGCCAAAGATGGGTGAGGCAATGATTTGGTCCAACAGAACTTTCTTCAGCACAGTGCGTTTGGTCCTTCCTGGGAACCTTCGATCCAGGGCCCCATACCAGAAATGCCCAAAGGGGCCCATTAAACAGCCAGTTGCAAACATTCGTCCTGTGAACAAGTGAGAAAAAGGGTGAGGACAGACTGACATTGGGAAAAACAGAGCTCCCTTGCCTGCAAAATTAAGGCAAAGGAATAACCCTTCTTTTTACAAATATTGAGTAGAGTTGAAAGTATCAATCCTCAGCTGCTGCTTCAACTTATAAGCTGCTTTTCCAGCTTCAGGACTTTGCATGTCATTTGCCTCCCAAGTGCGTAGACTTGTTTGGCTGTTGGGAGGAGTCATAACCAGACTGTCCCCACCGGTACTGTACCCC